ACTGGCTACCTAACCAACAAAAGACATTCTTGAGACAGAAATAACTTTATCACCAGGTCACTTTTGTTTATCCAAATTCTTTTCTAAGAGGCAGTAAGCTGCATTTCTAAATCATGCTAAAAATCTTAAAGCAGAACCATTAAAAAAAATACACCAATGGGTATCCTCAACTGCACACTCACGATAGAAAACCCCCTTTCTTGTTATAAACATTTGAAGCATATCTAAACTATGATAATGCATAATTTTCATCCTGATAGTCTCATAAGCATGACTTAGAGCAGTGGTTCTCAACCTTTTTAATGCTGCGACCCCAACCGGTTGTAAGTCGAGGACTAAACCAGTCATAAGTCGAGGACTAAACCGGTCGTAAGTTGAGGAATACCCAACTGGTCGTAAGTCGAGGACTTTCCCTGCCCGGGAGCGCCGCGCATGCGTGGTTCCGCCCCCTGCGCCGGCTGAGGCGTAGCTGGCAAGCGGCAGAGACGGAGCAGGCCGACCACCAGCTGGCCCAGCCCAAGGGAGGTAAGGCACCCGCCGGAAAAGGGGAAAAAAATGGCGGACAAAAAAAATGGCGGACAGCCTTGCTTGGCGACCCCCGTGAAATGGTCGATCGACCCCAAATGGGGTCCCGACCCACAGGTTGAGAACCACTGACTTAGAGGCATTTCAGTGTAGATAGCAAAGATTATACTTCAGTCATCTTACCTGCTGTAAGTAATTAATGGGATTAATTAATGGAACTCCATGCTAAAGTTTTCTAGGCTGTCAGAGTTCCCTCAGCCATTCTGAAATCCTCATAATTTTTTACTGATATTTGCCATAGCTGAGGAATTAGATTGCTCATCAAATAACACTGTTACATTCATGAAAGCATGAAATGCATGGGTGATGTTACCTACTTTGGGTAATGAAACATCTGCAAGAAAACAACCAAGCTCAGAGAGCACCAAGGACACCTCACAGATATATCAACCAAGCTCAGAGAGCACCAAGGACACCTCACACTTTCTGTAGACACCATTTTTATAAAAATGTAGGACTTTATTGCAACTGAAGCTGGAGTTCTTATTCATTTTAATTTTTTTGCACTTTCATTCACAACTAAGGTTGACTGTTATTAAAGACATTTAATATTTTTATAATAAAAGCATTACATGACCAACAAAGCTAGAAGTCATGGTAATTTATCTTTTGTTGTTTCTTCCTTCACAGTGTTTCAAGTGTAGAAAACCAACCTGATAGTATTTGTGGTTGAAATCACTTCAAATGAAATGCAGATGCAGCTTTGATATAACCAACTGTTAAGTCCCTAGCAATATTTTAATTATAGTCCTATGGTATCAAAAATAGGGGGGGTTAGCAATGCCAGGACCAAATTCACTCATTCTATTGTAAATCTGACCTCAAATATTTAGATAGTTCCAAAATTATGCTTTTTCAGCTAAAAATGTCCATTATCAACATCACCTTTTGTGCCCATTTAAATTTCTACTTCCATTTTCTCCAATTTACTGAACCAGAGTTCAAATGAAAAGAAGTTTTCAAGTCAGTAATGTAAATGTTAATCCACACAACACAAATTCATAAAATGTTAAGATAACTAAAAAAGAAAATTCTGTTCATCTAAGAGAAGCTACTTAAATGAACTATTTTTATATTGTTCAGTTGAACCTATAATTATTTTCATTCTGCAAGCCTTCAAAGAATATGCTCTTCTAACTATGAATATATTTCTGAAAATAGCATAGCATTCATTAACAAGGACAATATTAAAGAATTATAGGTAGCTAATATCTCCCTTTCTGACATTCCTCTTTTAAGATGATGGGCATCATCTTAGTACAGAGGCCCATATTCTAAACTTATTTATAGATATGCATATAATTTTCAAAGTAAAGGAATAATAATATCGATTATAGTATGACTGATGAGAGAAACAGAGGCTTCCCAGATAAGCTATTTAACACTTCCTAAAATTGAAGGTAGTCCTTCTCATTAACCATTTTTTAAAAAGGTTGCTGTAGTTCATACACATACTGTAAATCCTTGGTCATGAGACAGAGTTTGGGATCCACCACATGTGGATTTAGATTTCACAGGCTAGTAATTCAGAGCAAATAAATTGTACAGACAACAAAGAAATTAACTTACAATAATTATTGTCTTGTATTAGAAGTATTGCCCAAATATTATGATAGGACTGAATAATTACTGTTCTTATTCCAGGAGGTGGAACCTCCAGAACACATGGCTAATAAAAACATTTTGATCAAATTGTAACTATTCAGGGAAAACACTTTAACACATCTCAGAAGTAATAATTGCATTAATCCATTAGTAGTAAGCACAGCTGTGCTAGAAAAACTTCTAGGAAAATATTTAGCCATGGAGGGAAGGAGAAAAGAACGGATGATTCTAAAAAAATGCCTACTGTAAGAATTGCAGGTAAAAGCTCATAAACTCTGCAGTGTCATGGTCTGAAAACAATAAGGCAAAGGGCCCATTCTAGACATTGCATTGAACAAAAATCCAGCAATGTGGTTAAATGCAAATATACGATGAAAGAATGTCTGATATAAACCATACATAAACAAAACACTTGTGTTTTCTTCTTCCAACAATTTAAACGTGTCACGGTGAAAGATCACAGCATGCTTTTATAAGAATTTGTTTAACCCACCAGGGAAAAACAGAAATACAAACCTACAGAAAATATTAAATCACTAATATGAAATTAAGCAAAAGTAAAATAAATATGTTTAGAAGTAGCATCCACCTTGAACCAAAACAAAACTAAATGGAACAAAGCTTCTAACTTATCAAAAAGGCTTTGTTAAAGGTTAGCTGCATATAGGTACTAATTGTTGAAGTACTAATATTGCAGCTTTACAATTAATAAAGTGAAGCAATATCCATAGATAATGAGAAATGAGAGAAATGAGAGTCTCCAAAAGCTCATCCCATGCTAATTTCACAAGATTAGTGCTGAGCAGTGTAAGACATGTCGCAACTTTGTTGCTTCATGTGAAACTATTTGTGTGCCCATATGTCATAATTTCAATTTATAAAACTAGTCTATTTGCATGCTGGGAGCTATGCGTACATGTAGTGATACAGAACTAATGAGAGCTCAATGCAAAAAGGTAGGAAATACTTTTAAAATTAATAAAATTATACAATTTATTTTCAAACAGTTACCCAAGGTATAACAAGAGCCTATCCTTTCTAACTACTTTAAGATAAAATTAAAATAATGAACCAACTAAAGCATCCCCTGCACGCCAGCCTCTCGAATTTCTCATTCTTTTCTACCCTTGTACCTTCAAAATGAATATGGCATTTGTAAATGGATAGGTAATGAAACTTCTGCACTGAGATTCAAGAATTGGGTATCCTGCCTGGGTGGTATTACCTCAGATAACACTTGACCATAATATCAATAATGCATCACAAAATATTAAACGAGTCCACTTAAAACTAGCTGTAGTGTTTAAGCCCCATTTAAACTAATGACACAAGAAAATAGTAACTAATGTAAATCTTGCTTCCAATAAGACTGGCAGAACAGTCTAAACATGTCAGTCGGGAAGGCTATGATAAACATACTGGATGTACTATCAGTTGTACAGTATTTAATTAAGCCCCCAACATAGTAATCATTATTACTGCTATGGGAATAAGCTTGGGCCAGCAGGATAATGGCATCTTATGCTATTTTTCCCTTTACATTTTCTTACCACAAATCTCTGTGACTTGATTCGGTAGGTTGAAAAGATTAATACAAGCCAACATATAAGACAGGAGATATATCTATATCTGTGCTTTAGCAGATTATGTAACCTGCAAATTCACTCTCTCCCCTGGCGTATTCCTGTTCCTCCTGTACTCCATTGTGCCTGAGAGAAGGGACAGACATCCCTCTGATGTCAGAGGGAAAGCTGCAATATACCTTACGGTGCTTAGAAGGATGACCCCAGTATCAAAGGATTTTAACTGAAAACAGATTTTATCTTTTAAAAATAAAGCACAAATGTGATGTGTTTGTTCAAACATTGGTATACTTACAGTATATATCTCAGAATAACTAACAATGTCTTTGGTTATAAATATTATCAGAAGAAAAGCCGTAATTATATAAAGAAACCCATATGCAAACTTTCAGCTTACTCAGTCAAAAGAAACAATTGACTATCACTATCACTGATAAAGAGCTAATTGCTGTCTCATTAAAAATAATTGTCTCCAAAAATATGAAAGTTATATACAGTACATGTATTCAATTGTTTTATTTCTTATCTGAGATTCTATTTTTCTGTTCGGTGTGTTCCTACATGAACACAGTTATGACATTTTCTTGGCAATACTGTTAAAGTAGTTTGCTTTTGCCGTCTTCCAAGACAGTGGCCCCCAACCTTTTGGGTACCAGGGAGAAAGGTTTTTCCATGGACCAGAGGGGGCGTGGTTTTGCATGCTATCTGCATCCCACGGATGGGGCTTTGCTTGTTTGTTGGCATGCTGCACACTGATGCTCATCCACCGACCGGGGGTTAGGGACCCCTGTTCCAGGACATATTTAACATCCTAGTATAGCCTACAACACCAAATTCCTTGTTGTTCTCTCTATCTAGCTTCTGAACTGAAGACAAAATCATCTGGGTAACAACTGGCTGGGATTAAATGTGTATCTGGCACTATTCCCATGGAATATGTAATGTTGGAAAGTGTTTTCACATAGAATTTTGAAACGAAACTCTGAGATTTAGCTTATAGTAACTATTATTAAAATAATTAATATTATTAGATAATAGCACTAGGAGGAACAGTGATTATTATTTAGTTCATATTATCATGGGGAAATTGTCTTAATTTACCTGGGTGAATACATGAAAACCACTTTCGCTTAAAATACTTCCATTGGCAGAAACTGATATTTACTTATTCTTATTTGTTTCTTTTCAATGTCTTTTCAATTAAAATAAAATTGTATTAATACTTACTCCCAAAATTCCATGACTGGAGAAGTAGCATTCTTCAAATATTGTTGAGTGCAATTGCTCATATTAAGTTTCTGAAATTCCACACAATGTTCTATAATAGAACAAAAATATTATATAACATTTGTCTTAATTTTTGTTTATTTATGGAGGTAAAGTTTTCAAAAAAAGGTTCGTTCATGTGCTTTAGTAATTAATTCCCATTATCCTATTCTTTCCATATTTTCTCTTTGTCCAATGGAAATATAAGACTAAAAATTTCTAAGAATAGAAACAGACTTTACAAGTGACAATTAGGGAATTAAATGCTTTGCAATTCAAGTGATTACAATTTAATTCCCAATGCATATTACTGGCTTGAGAATCATCTGCTATAAACAGCAAGCTAAAAGCTTTAATCTGTTAAAGGAGAAAGTAGCATACTCATACTGGTAAAGCCGATGTTCCAGAAATTGGAGAAAGAAATCAAAACTTTTCTTCATAGGTGAATCGATATATGTTCTAGCTGGATATTATAGAATATTAGATAAGATTTCTGAAATATATGCCCAAAATTACTGAAGTCCATGAAAACTCTTGGATTTAGTTGAACACTATAGAACTGATCAAAACTCCAGAGCTACTTAATAATACAATAATGGTGATAGAAAATTCCAGTTCTTAATAAAATTAAATTGTTACAGAGATGAGATGAAATACATTTTAATTTCATGTTGCTTTTTCCAAATTCTCTGCTATTCCACTCCGATTTAAACAGTTTTAAATTAATTAAAATAATATAATTAATCAACATAAATATAATGTAGAATAAATACCATTTGTAATTTTGTTAGATTGCAACCATGATGAAATTAATGTTTTAACTCTGAAAATAATAATAATTTTTAAGAAGATTATTTGACTATCTGAAATGAGATGTAAATGATAAGAGAAATCAAGTTTGGTCAAGGAGTGTGTATTGTTTCTTACAGAAGCAAAGAGGCATAGTAATAACTCTATCTATCTATCTATCTATCTATCTATCTATCTATCTATCTATCTATCTATCTATCTATCTATCTATCTATCTACCTACCTACCTACCTACCTACCTACCTACCTACCTACCTACCTATCTTGTCTGTCCAGTATCTGTGTCTGTGTGCCTCTCTATCATCTACTGTGTCTGTCTGTCTGTCTGTCTGTCTGTCTGTCTGTCTGTCTGTCTGTCTGTCTGTCTATATCTGCTCCCAGCAATTCTGGGCAGTTCAGCCTACACAGACACCCACACAGAAAATAAACATCAACAATCTCAGAAGAGTCTACAGCAATAATATCTTATTAAGAATTAATGTTCATTATAGAAGAAAAAAAGATCTTGTCTGGTCTTCATGCTTTATGCAGTGTTCATTTAGTGCAGGGATCTTCAAACTTGGCCCTTTTATGACTTGTGGACTTCAAGTCCCAGAATTCCTCAGTCAGCTGGTGAGGAATTCTGGGAGTTGAAATCCATAAGTCATAAAAGGACCAAGTTTGAAGACCCCTGATTTAGTGTAATGATGTGGATAATGTATTTAAAAATGAATACATGTACCATGTAGACTAGAGTCATTGAGAATGCAGCATACAAGTTTGGTTGCAGAGTCATCCAGATGTTTAGACTGAATTTGGCCTTTTTGTCCACCAACTGAGTCCTTTCCCAGGACCTGGGATAGGCGGGTGTTGTTCTTTAATAATTTAAATGTATTGTTGAATTATTATCATATGTAAGGGCTGCTTTATAGTTGTTTTTTTTCAGAATTTAAGATGTTCACAACGAGTTGGAAGATGTGTTAAATGAATAAAATTCGGAGATATTATGTATCAATAAGCCTTTTAATCTTCAAAACTCAGTGTTTAAATGGTAAAAGAACAATACAACATACTGTTTAATCACAAATGAACATTAACAGTGTCTACATTTAGTTTATATGCTGTTTGAAAATTTCATAAAACAATTAACTGTTTGGTATGATTACCTATGTCCCTGTTTTTTCAGTGTTTTTATGGAAATAAAAGTCAGGAGTTGGATGACATACACATCAGCAGCAGCAGCATTGACAAATTCACCATCCGTCAATTGCAAAAGGTGGCTTCACTCAGAACAGCTTACATCCTGCAACAATATCTGTAATACCATCAAACATCCACATCTGCCTGGAAGGATTCAAGAGGCAGACAAAAATGCCAAATCCAGGTTGAACATCTGGCCGTGGTGAACCATTTAGTAAATTATAAATATTGCTATTATTTACATTATCACACTTTTGTGCTAGTACCTGTGTTCCACTCATGACCACAGCTTGCCCAGGGAAGCTCCATTGTGAAGCAGTTAAATAGATAAAAAATAGCCCATGCTAAAATGATGATATAGTAAACATTCAAATGTGCTTCAATAACCTGGGTGGCGTATCCAATCCCTGAAAAACATGGAAAGATACTTTTTAAAGCTATAAATGAAAGCAAAAGCATGAGTTTAGATAGAAAACAGTCTCAATGCATACTTGATACACTTTAGTTTCTAAAACACATTTCCCCAATCTAAATGTACAGTAGAAGAATGGGCTATCTGAAAGAAAGAGCCTAGCTGACCCTGAAAAAAAGCAAGCAGGAAACTAATTAGTATTTGGAAAGAAGACCATCAGGAAATCCAAAAGCTACAGGCTAGACTGGGAAGAAAGGCAGGAGCTGAAAAGAATAACGCCCCAAAATAAACCTGCATTGGAGATTAGGTTGATTAAAGGACCCAGGAAAGAGGTTTTGGGTCCTTTTCTATTTAGCAAATAGGCACATTCCAAATTAAGAATACAATAAATCAGTCTTTAAATGATCACTTTTTCCAAGTCGTTTTAAGGTTTGGCATGGGATTTTTAGGCTAACATTCATTTGTAAGGCAAGCAAATATTTCAACTTTCCATGCTAAATAGGCTAGAAAACTGAGAAAATGACTTTTCCAAGAAACAAGTTCATGGTCCAAATGTGATCTCTAAATTTACATCTTAGATTCTTATGCTGTATTTTTTATTACTCAGATGATATGAGTAAACACAAAGAGCATTCATGAGATCATTGTGCATTCAAAGGCAATTAGGCAACTACTATATATTTTGTTGTCTTTAAGGGCAACAACATTTGAAGTGTTCTTTCTCTTTTGAATGTTGAAAATTCAGACTACCTGTAAAATATTTTTGATAGTCATAAAGGTGCTTCTGCGTGTGCACAAAAAAAATACTTGAATACTTATACCAAGGAAAAATGAATATGATGTATACCTTCAAACAATGGGCAAACTTTTCTCCAGCATGTAATTCCTCCTTCACTAGTAAACTGCCCCAAAGCAGTTTCCAAGAAAAACACTGGTATTCCACAGCAAATGAAGAAAATGACATAGGGTATAAGGAAGGCACCTAAATCAAACATTGAATAGATATTATTAATTCTAATCTAATTCTTTAGAAAGATAAAATTAGACATTTAATTTCATGTATGCAATCATTGCACAAGACTGCTAACCATACATACAAGGTCTGGCTTTGAATTCAAAATTAAGTATTCTAATTTTAGTTAAATTTTGTATAAAATCCTATGGAACACACACACACACTATAACTTTTCATGTTGGAAACATATTTCCAGAATATCAGTGCAGAATGCTGAGGATATGTGCTCAACAGATATGATTTCATATCAGAAAATTAAGTCAATCAGCAAGGTATTAACTAAATCTGGTGAACTTACAAAAGTAAGGCGTGGGAAAAAATTTTAATAGCATGACTTAATGAAGCTGTAATGTATCCATTAGAAAACTTCTTGATTATGCAATAAATAACACCAATTATAATCTCTACCAGCAACTCCTATTTAAATCTACTCAAACATCAATCTGAAGTGCCTGCAAGTCATTCCCATACAGAATTAAAACCGATATATCTTATTGTAAATAAGTTATAATATGATAGGTATAGTCTGATTTCTGCTCATTAGTAGCAATCATCATACAAAGAATGTATTATGAAATTTTGCTTCACTGGAACGTAGTCCAATGGATGTCCTGAACATTAGACAATTTTACCACTCTGATTTTTATCATTAATTAAATGACATAAATTGTCAAAAACAATGCATCAATGTATGATTATGTCCTCTTGTGAAGGAATGAATCATTACTCATTCTTAGGATTTCCCAGTAATTTTATTCCATTAAAATAAAATTTGACTGTATTTTCTTAAGTTCTTATAACTTGCTAAAAATAAATGAAATTACCAGACACAGTCTGCATAGAAAACTGAGTATATAAATATATAGTTAAACCTACATGTGTTATGCATATTTTTAATAATTATGTATTTTTCCAGTTAAACTATACAGTATATTAGCACTTTCAAACTAATTAGTAAACATGCTTAGATACTCTTCTATCTGTGGCATGCCACAATACATACATTACATTGAAAAAACAAAAATATTATTTTTTTAAATTCTACAGAAAAAGTGCAATATTTGAAAGTATGCTTCATTATAATGGAAAAAGCTCCATAGATTCAAATGCCCTTAGTATTAGTAATTGTTCAATTTTTAAGTAGAGTAATAGAAAAGTAAAACTTTTAGAGAAGTTTATCTCTGAAAAATTGAGTTGGTTCTATAACTGATGTCAGCTTCATATATTTATATCTATATAAGTTTTATTAATAATGTTACCATAGATAATTACATTGAAGTTACTAGTTCAGAGCAATGCAGAACATTTGCCTCAACTGCATAATCTTAACTGTTCAGTAATAGCATTTTTATTTTATTTTACAGACTCCTTTCATTTTTCATTTTGATTTAGAGAATATATTTTGAATATAGACTAATGCATGCTATTCCAAGTTTTCTAAATATATTTTTTTGATTATTGGTTTTTTAAGGCTGCCCAATTCCTCACTGGATGATATTCAAAGTTGAAAGCGTGGTTGTAGGGAGCATTTTAGGAAGGACCTCCCCTTATATTCCAGACAGTAAAAGGAAAAGAGGGGAGAAATACTTTCAGTCTTGCACGATTCTTTTGATGTAACCTTACAATAAAGATAGACGTATTTGTCTAGATTACCTTGCAAGGCTAACATAATCCTATTCCAGATTTCAGAATTTATTCATTCCTATTGTAAAATGTATCAAATGCTGAAAACAAAAAAGATAAATACAAGATTTCTTGAAATAATGGAAACGAGCTAACCCATAAAATGCAGGTAGAGCCTTTGGCCAATAGCACTTTTGTGCAGTTCCGACTTGGGTGCCACTTGTAACTATTTCTGCAATGGGAGGCTTCACTGACAGTCTTTATCAATTCATGATTAGTTTATTGCAATGCACTTTATATGAAAGTTGCCATTGAAGCTTCAGTTGTTTCCATATATAACAGTCTATTTTGTTATGAATGCTCCTAAGTTTCCCCATGTGGAAACTCCATTGTTTGCCAGATTGCTTCAGGATACAATGTAAGGTGTCAGATGCTACCTTTAAAGCCCAATATGCTTAGACTTTCAGTATCTTAGAGATGATCTATAGTGGGTAAAAACCTGCTCATCCAATTTCAATAGGGAGAAATGACACATTAAGAATTACTCTGTCATTTTTGAGGGCCATTATGGTTGACCCTTCTCAGGGATTAAAACCTTTCCTCATTTTTAATGACTTTTCCTTCCATGCTATATTTTTGAAAAGTGGTGAAGATCTAGTGCTTCAGGACTACTTCATACAGTAGGTGGGATGGATTGTTGCAGTACTCCTGAGATGTGGGTGCATTTTTTTGTGATGTAGTGGGCAGAGTACTGATTATAATTTCCTTGTGGTGTTATTTTTTAACATCTTTACTGTAAACAGGTAGGAAATGTTCACCTTTCTGATTTCTGGCAGAACAGAAATCTGAGCAAATTAAATCACTTAATCAATAAAACTAATATTCCAACTTGGCATCTTGCCAGCTGTGATGCTGTCTGAAAATTATGGTCATCACAAGCCAATACATTTGACACAAGTTGGGGAGCTCTGATACAAAACAGAAAACAAATGGAAAATGGGAGGTTTAGAAGTCAGATTGTGACATATCCGAATAATGTCAATCAGATTAAATTTAGCTATATAATTCCTTTAAACACTCGATCTATTACTCACATTGACAGTCTGTTGTACCAATACAATCTGTTGATTTACTTGATATTCAAACTGGACTTTGTATCAAAATTAATATTTCACATTATATCATTTCCTTAAGTACTTGTATATTGCTTCATGAGCCTTCACCATGTTGAAAAAGAATGCTATAATATATACGGAACTAGCAAAAAAGAATTAGATTTTTCATTCTAGCACAAAGCCTTATAAGAAGAAAATGCAAATGCAGCCTATAAATCAATGAAGATATTTGGTTCACTGGAGTTTCCTTAATAAAATATTCCAAGTGAATTATTTCCCTGATTTAAACAATAGCAAAGATATTGAGTAATACATTGTTACTCTGAACCAAACAATACAGTTCTAATAAATGCAGGTCTAAATATATTTAACTGAATAGAGTGCAAAGTTTAAAAAGTCAAACAGAATGTATTTGCTTTCACTGTACACTTATATTTATTTTACTGATACATCTAAACTGGAAAATAAGGGAAATATGGTTGGTCAACTAAAATAAAAGGGTTAGCCATGTAATATAAAAAGGATTTGCCTAGGTTCTGCATCATAAAATAAAAGAATTGTCAGGTCCCCAAATCCTTATTGTTTTCCTTGCGTATATACTCTTGTGCTCTTGTTTTGGGGTCTGCCATTCTGCTGGGGGGAAGGGGGGATATTTGCTTGTGATGTTATTAACTTTCGCTTTCTACCTTTCCTCTCCCGCCTCTATCCACTTGAGAAAGGAATGTGTCTCCCTTATCAGGGAGACGGTTACAGAGAAACAAAACTGGAGAAGACCTTGAGATGTGCGCCAACTGTGCCAGTTACCCACATATCATGCCACCTGTGGATTGGCTGGATTTCAAATGGACATTATGATTCTAGTGGGAGGAGGAATATTGCTGATTTGACTATACCGTTTAAGCGGGATTTTCTCCAGATCTCGCCTTGACTTTCCTACTGTCACTAACCCCTAATAAAAGTTTCCTTTTGAGACAATGCCTGTTTCAAGACTTCTGCTTTCTTGGGTGGTTAGCTGAGGTAGGTCCTTACAAGAATGAAGAATAGACTAGCAGTCATCAATAAGAACAATTAAACTGAAAGTCTCACTTCATCTTGATTTTCTGCCACTATGAAGCAACAGAAGGCAATATAGAAAAGCAAACACACCTACACACTATGCTTTGTTTAAAAAAAAGTAGCAAAGGCAACAGGCCAAATATATGTTGATACTTCTCATTTCAGAAACAACATTAATTGCTGGTCAACATTATTAGCAGAAAAACAACAATGAAGAAGAAAGCAGGGCTTTTTTTCAGCCGGAACGCGGCGGAACCGCGTTCCGGCACCTTTTTCCGGGCCGGCCGCACCGGAAATAGCCCCTCCCACACCGGAAATAGCCCCTCCCAAATTTTACTTGCATTCCTGTTCTCTAAAGGGGCGGTCCTAGGGTTTGATGAGGGCGTGGCCAGGTTTG